CTATTTACATCTATTTTTGCATATTTCATTCATTAGATAAGTATTATACATCAAGTACATGCTATGTGGTTTCAAAATACATTAAATGAAATAATTTTGTTACTGTCTCATGGAATTCAGTTGAATACATACACAGCATTAATTTTTTAACAGAAGATGAATATTTACAAGGTGGCAATATTGGCAACATTTTAGGAGATGTTTTGCTAAATGCTTGTTTTGAATATTCTTCGGTTATGGGAGTCATGTCTGATGAAATCTATGAGACGATGGTAGTCCTAGAGTCCAGCAGGGAACTCCTGTGATGGCCTTCCCAGGGCAAGTGAGAATTTTGGTGTCTTACAATATTGATATTGACAAAGGCAAATGACCTCAGACAAATAGACTAAATTTGTGATGGAAAACCAATCTAACAAGTTAAGTTGAGTAAACATACATCATAAAAATAAGAATCCAATGTCTCATTCTTGGAGGGTCAAACTTTTTAATGTGTTTAATGTACATTTCTTTGCTAATGCTAACTAGTACATGCAGATATGTAAACAATTATGTTCTTTCTACTGCAGAGAAATTTATCATATGAGCAGGCATGTTTCAACATATAACCTATATTTATTCAAATTTTTTAGACACAGAAGGGGTAGAAGAAAAGGAATCTTTAGTGAAACAGCATGGAAATATGAAACAATAAATTTTACTTTTTTAAATTAACTATCTTTGAACTGTTGAATTACAATTTTAAACTATTGGTTGAGCATGCTGACAGGGTCTGAAATCTTGAATACTTGTCACAATGTTTAGCTATGATCAGCTTCCTCTTGTCATCATATTTACCATGGCTGTTTGTGTTGCAAAAACTTCTCTGCACAGAATTAGGCCTATTTATAGAAATATGTGTCTTGAGCCATGTTCAATATAGATGCACAGTTGACATTTAAGTCACCTCAGAGATTTTTTTGGATGATGCTAATGATACTAAACTTTGGGATCTCACGATTAGACTGACTTCAGGGGAAAGATATGTACTGAGCAGAAAGTCCTATTTTGCAATTTCCTAATTAGGTATTCTAATATGTGAGTGTGGAAAAAGCAGGGCATAAATATTTCAAGAAGGGAGCTTAGACTTAATGAATGCATTTTCCAGTGGATGTAAGTATAATCCAAAGCATATTACAAGATGCATTGTTTAATTTCCCAGGATATTTAAGTCTCTACAGCAAATATATATATGCAGTTGCTAAAGAGTATAGATGTAGTTAATGGCTGAGTTGTTAAACAGTATCTGTGTTGTGTTATTTTTATATTGAGCATGAAAGCCTTAAGTAGCATGAAATCATCTGAACTGAGAACAAATACTGATTCAAAACCAATTAGGAGTTTAAAAAAAGGAAAAAATTGATGTAAGCGGAACATCAGGGACACTTAATATGACTATAGGGTAAATCGTATGAATACTACAGGCAGCAAAAGGAAGCCACTACCACTGAAGAAAGAGTGGTCTAGGCATAGGGAGGCATGTAATATACACAAAGGGATATGATCAGGCTGAATCCACAAACTAAACGAGTGTTGATGAATGACCAGCATGGGCCCCCATGCTGCTAGTCATCTAAGACTCTACTTTCCTTGTCAGAGTTTAAGAACTCTCTTGAAAATATACATGTCTTAGTTCTATAACAGATCTGAGCACATGTAAACTATCATGATTTCCTTGTAAATAGTCAACTAAGTAGTCAACTAGTATTGGTTTATGTTCTTGTACCAGTTTGCTTTTAAGTATTATTAGGTGATAGTCAACATATAAATTATATGTAAATAAAATTCCAAATAAAGTATATAAAATGTGTCCTATGAATAAAACACATAGTAAATTAAACTTATAAAGTACAGTACTTAAACACTCTAAGCTCACAACCGACCATAAGAATCAGAGCATTCCCAATAGCCTTCACCTGCCTGTGGCCTCCTTCCTGATCACGTCTTTCGGATCCCTCATTCAAGTCTACCATTCCCTCTGGCACTATGGTTTCTTCACTTAGGTATGTTTTCCTAGGGAACATTCTCTAGAAATCTCCTCATGAGAACGGCATCCTCTGACTTAGTTTTGTGAAGTTAACATTCATGAGCTTAAGGCTCAGTCAGTAGTGCACTCAAACTTGCTCACAGTGGCGTCAGAGAACCAACAGTCATTTCCAGTTGATTGACAGCAACACCATGGCTGGGCTATATGACATCAAGGAAATCAATAGTTGTGCAAACGACTTTTTGCTGAACATTTATTTACCAGCACGTTGCTGCCTTTATCCACCCTGTGTGTGCAGATAAAATGCATTTGAGTCCCTACAGTGTAAACTGCACAGCTCCTTGATTTCATCATTCATGGACAGCCTACCAAGGCTTGTTCACAGTCCCTGGAGCATAATGCTGGTTTCTCTAACATAATTATCTAGATACACAGTTTCTGGGTTGTTCCTCCTGTAAATCTCAAGATTGTAAGATAATAGAAAACTTTTCTCAAATTGTTTAGATACTACCTCTTTTGTCAGATTTCTTAATACCCAAAATTGTTATGAAATACTTCATAACAGTCTTCATCTGATTTTTCCTCTTTTCTAAGGTAATTGATTATATATCATATACTTGATATTTGTGTTTCCTTTCCTTTGACATGTCTGTTTAATCTATTGATTATTTCTCAATGGATTTGTTGACCTTATTAAATTATAGGTGACCTTCATATTTGATTACTCATCTTTGGGCAATAAAAACTACATGGCAGATATATTTTCTCATTTTGTGTTTTTCCCCTTGGCATTTTTGATAAAAAATCCTTAATTTTCCCTTTAAAAACTGTTTTGTGCATATGGCTATGTGTGGAGTATACATGCAATTATATGAGCTATGTGGAGATTTATAAAGGCCAGGAGATAGCATCCTCTTCTATCATTTCCCATCTGATTTTCATTTAAGATAGGGTCTTTAAGATAGGGTCTCCCACTGACACTGGATTAGCTGGACTGACTGGCCAGTGAATCTCGGGGATATTTCTGTTGCTACTCCACCTGCACAGGTGTTTTTCAGGTGTGTGCTACCCTGCCCATCATGTTTATGTGGACAGGAAGCATCTGAACTCAGCTCTCATGCTTGTACAACAAACATTTTCCCTGCTAAGCAGACCCTTCTTCTCCACAGTTCTCAATTTTCTATAGTTGAAGTTTTTACTCTTTTCATCTCAATTTTTAATTCAAGTTAAATTAATTAAAGTGATAAATTGTAACATGAAAACTATACAGATTAGTGGGGTACCTCAGAATGTTTCATTTCACTAAGCATTTGTGAAACACTAGTATAAAATTAAAAGTATTTGTCTTTATTTAAAATATTCATTATTTCATTTGTGGTAAAAATCATTCAAAAACCCTTTTTCTAGCTTTTGGAACATATGGTAAATATTGTTTCATGGTATCTCTAATGGTTATGGACTTTTATGTCTGCTTTAACATGCTATCCATTCAAATATAAAGAAAATATTTCCTATTGTGATGTCTCAGATGATCTTGATTCCGGGTGTTGTGTTAAAATAGCAGTAGTACATCATAGATACCACTGAAGTAACATTACATTACATTTCATCTACCACTTGTTCTACTAGCATTTTGAAGTGTTCTAGCTTTAATTTCATAGGTTGAGTTATGGAGTTTGCATTGCATCCTATAGAAATGGGTATGAAATGCATACTATTAATTTTGAAACATAATAAAGTAAACATCAGTGGTGCTGTGTGTCATAGATTTTTGTCAGCTTGGCATAAAACCTAGACATAACTGGTTAGTTTTGGTTAACTTGCTGCAAACTAGAGTCACATAGGAAGAGGGAATCTCAACTGAGCAATAGTTTCCACCAGATTAGACTATAGAACATTTTCTTTGTTAGTGATTGATGTGGAAAACCCAGCTCACCACTAGGGGTGCTACCCCTAGGCATATGGTCATGGACAAGCTGAACAAGCTATGGAAAGTAAACATTCTTCTATGATCTCTGCCTCTCTGGATGATGGACAGTGATTTGGAAGTGTAAGCTGAAATACCACAAGGTTCACCCAAGGTAGCTTTGGTCAGTGACTTATGACAGCAGTATATATTAAATTGGGACATCTAGAAATTGTCTCCACTGGGTTGGCCTTTGTGCATGTCTGTGGAACAGTCTCTTAATGAAAACTTGATACATGGTGGCCCAGCCTACTGCAGATGATGCCATGCTGAGGCATGTGGGCCTGGGATGTATAAGAAATGTAGCTGTGCAAGCCATGTAGAGTAAGCAGTTAAGCAGCATCCCTTCCTCCCTGGTCTCTGCTTCAGTACTTGCCTCCAGGTTCATGCCTTGAGCTCCTGGCCTGGTTTTCCTAGATGATAAAAATTGAAATAAATGATCTCTTTCCCTTGTTGTCTTTGGTCATGGTGTTTTTTTTCATAGCAACAGAAAAACAAGCTAGAACACAGTACAATGAGGGAAAAGGAATCTGTTTTACTAGATGGAGAAGGAGGAGAAAGGTTCAGATGAAACCCTTTCAGGAGAAATGATGTCTGACTTAGAGAAGAAGCAAGTAGTAGTCACAGTCTCAACAAGTGGCTAAGAAAGTTTGTGTGATATCTTCAATAAGATGTTGCTGTTTTCCTCTAATAATCTGGTGGACCAATGGCATGAGAATGGGAGTCAGTGACACAATTTTCAAGGAACTCAAAATGTCCTTCCACTTTCTAAAGAGACAGCAGGGATAAATGGAGTAAACTGTTAGAATTAGGGGCATGGTTTTGAAAGCATATAACTGCCTCTTCAGAATCCACGCTTTCAGATTCCATTTCTCTTTCACTCTTTGCTGTCCAGATGGGCAGGATGTGCACTGTGACATGGGATATGGGCATTTGATTCAGGAAAGATACTTTTGTAAATCATTAAGAATTACTAAAACTTCAATAAATGTATTTGAATGGAACACTTACCCAGTGAATCTGGGATTCGCTCCTCTGGAGAATGAAAGATTTGCATTGTGTCTTCTGTCCTTTCCATCAGATTGTCTCCTTGAAGCCTAAATGATTAAACAACATCATTGGAAACTGCAACATGACTAGATCTTCTAGACTCTGAAATCAAACATGATTCTTCAAAGCAAGCATAAACTTTTACTAAATCCATCTCAATCCCAGATTGTCGCTTTTTGTAGCCTTAAATGAAAGGTCTTCTATCTGCTTGTGTATGTACAGTGTGATTACACTCAGCCAGTTGTTGTGAACCTTTGGGTTGTGACTGCTTTCACGGGGGTCACATATCCGATATTTATATTGTGATTAAAAACAGTAGCAAAATTTCAGTTATGAAGTACCAATGAAATAGTTCCACGGTTGGGGGTCACTGCGACTTGAAGAACTGTATTAAAGGTTTAGAGCATTAGGAAGGTAAAGAATCATTGTGCTAGACTTTAGGGTCTAGAGCTAATCTCCTTTACATATTAGCCTGAGCAGAAAAATATTTATAGCAGAAGTTTTTACTAAACCACAAAATCAGGTTAACAAGAATGGAAATAAATATGATGCCTTGGGTTCAGCTGACTTCAGGATCCTGGACTCATGGGAGAGTTTTTATGATTGCACAGAGGTTTTCCTCTCCCTGCCCACCCCACCCCACCCATTCTCCAAATCAACTAGTGTGAGTAGAAAGGCCAGGGGTTGGTCACATTTGTCAGGGGTAGGAAGGAGGATCCTATTGCACACAACAGCCCCATGGCTGGCAAGGGTACTAGGGACCTCTCGGTGGAGGAAGACAATGTAGGTCCTTTACAGACAAGTGTCTCTCAGCAGATGAATCCTCATGTCTACACAGAGATTTGATCCCTGGCAATATCAAACTTAACGCTATGTTTATGGAACAGTTGGAAAGTGTGTTCTCAGAACAAAATGGATATCAGCAATATGTCTCAGAATTTGCCCTAAATAAACACAGTTCTGTAAATGTTGAAGGAAACTATGAAACAGTCCTGAGACAAGAGGTTTCTAACAATGTCTTCCCATTTTTTGTTCACAATTGCTTTCCTGAGGAAATATTAACAAATGCATGGCATGTAGCATTAAGTTTTATTACAAAATAAAACTATAATTCATAACTATACTGGGCTTGAGTGTTAAAATTCTCAGTAATACCTTTTCTCTTTATACCATGGTGGAATCACACAACAACTTCTCTTTATCAATTGTAAAATTATGACTATTTGTAAATTAGGCTTATCTTTTTATAATATTAATTATTGTGCATTTTTCTATATGCTATATATTACATTGCTGTATATATTACAATTATGTCATAACATGTACTGCATATTGGCCAATTTATATATAATATCATGTTTATTATATTGTACAAGTTAACTGGAATGGACATCGGGTAAAAAGGTAGTTGTTGTCAAAACTGAATGCCTAGGTTTGATCCCTCAGACCAATATAGTAAAAGGAGAGAACTTACTTCTTGCAAGTTGTCCTCTGACCTCTACATGAGTGTCATGGCAAGTGAAAAGCCACACCCACAAATAAATAAATAATGATGTAAGAGAATTAAAAATTTGCCAAGGGGCATTTTAGCTATGTGGGCATTTTATACCTCAATAAGCTTTGCCTGAAAAACTTAGAGCTTTAAAGTAGTTAATGAGTTATACTTTCCCTCAAATCTTCCTCACTACTTTCCCCCTTTTCAATTCATGCAAACAAATTAGGAAAAATATTTTGATAACCCATAATATCCAATATTGGTTTTTGAGCTTTTTTCCCATAGATATTCCATCAAAATTATTAAGGATAAAGTGTAAAGGCATATTGCGTATTTAAACATGTAAATAATATTTGTAAGTAAAAATTCACAGGGGCCTAGAGAGACACTTCTCTGGTTAAGAATGCTTGCTGCTCTTGCAGAGGACCCAGGTTTGGGTTCTAGGAACACACATTGACAAACGCCTGTAACTGTATATCCAGGGAATCCTACACCCACTTCTGACCACTGAAAACAACCCCACATATGTGCACATACACACACATAAAAATAAATAAAAATTTCACCTTCAAACTAATCCCAACTGTTTTGACATACGTGTATAATTAACAGTAAGTTAAAATGTAAAAGGAAACTAAATTATCAACAAAGATTAAAAGAATTAAGACAAAATCTATGCCTCCTTTGTGTGTCAGCCCACTTGTGTGAGCCTGCAATCCCAGCACACTGGATGTGGAGGCAGAGGTTACCCAGTACAACCCAAGTCTGGTAAAAGCCTGAGAAACTGAAAAAAAATAAGATAAAATAAACGAATAAAAACCATTTGTTGTTGTTGATTTTGTTTTTTTATTCATCTGATGAATCAGTATAGACAGATGTTTACTTAACATTTATTAGTGTGATCAGTGATGAGCCTTATGTTGCAAGAATCAAAGGAAAATCTAATTGTCCTTGATTTCAGAGTCCTTGGTGCAACTGAATTGAACAGAAAAATCACCGTGAATAAGTCCAAGAAAATTGGGTGTCCTGGAAGCTGGCTCATCTTTGCCCAGATGCCTAAGAAGTTCACCATCACTTGGCACCTTTCCGTTAGGGAGTGATATGCTTCACTGCTCTGCCAAAATTCCCTGGGCTGAAATCCACACAGTCCTACTGTTGTTCGAGGTTGGTAGCTGCTGCATAAACAAGGCTTGTGTGGGCAAATCCGGGAAATACCGCCTTTAAAACGTTAAACTTTGGATTTTACTTTTTACCATAAGACTTTTCCAAGCCTTTCCTATTTGCTTTCTAAACCACTCTTTCATATTAAACGAACTTCTTTATATGTCTAGCCCCTGTGCAGGGTGCCTCCACTCTCCCTTGCCACACAGAAGCTCTTCTGCGGGCGAGTGAGAATGTGTTCAATGTTAGAGCATGTGGTTAGCATGAACATAAAGAGTAAAGTGTTATTCCTGCATTGGGAGTTGCCTGACCCCTCAACCTCAGGTCATGCAGGATTGTGTGGACAAACCTTTCTGCTCTTTGCAAATAAAGACTTGGCTCAAGGGTCTTCTGAAGTATTTGAGTGTTTACTGGGTATTTGAGTGTTTCTGAAGTATTTGAGTGGGTGAATACTCAATCATCTCATAGTCCCTTGACTATTTGCTTCTCCACCCCTAAACCAGTGACAGGATTCTCACTGTCACATGGTGTTAGGAATTTCTGAATCAGTGTTTCTCAGAAATACTTCTGTCCTTTATGATTTTTCATGATGCCATTCCTGTTAACACTTTTCCCCCTGGAATGATTTTAGTTGTATGTCCCTGTTCCCTCTTTTCCTTGGCAGGTATTCTTTCCTTTCTTCCCTCCTCAGTTAGAATTCATGTACCCTCAGATCCCTCTCATGCAGTTCTTCCATTGCTGCCACCAAGATTCCAGCCCCACACTAATCTGCCATACAGTGCTTGTGTGTACTGGAGAGGACAAAGCAATAGTTTCCAACTCTAAAGTTAGGCTTCTTGTTGTCTTTCTTCCATTTTTTCAAGGATTTTCCAAAAATAACACCTCCCCTGCATCACTCAGAAAAAAATGATTCCATCTGAAATAAAAAACCTTTCATTCTCCCTCACGCACAAGTTATCTTCATTATTTTTTTCCTAAATCACACAGGAGGAATTCCTGGATTGGGCTGGTGATGGGGAGTCATGTCTTATGTTTCTCTTGTTCTTCAGTTTGTTTTGTTCATTCCAATCTTGTCCTTATTATTCATTCTGTAAATTTCCACTGTCATTTCTCATAAAATATGAGCAAGCTTACTTCCCTTTCAAACAATCTCTCTCTCACACACACACACACACACACACACACACACACACACACTTGTCCTTATTATTCATTCTGTAAATTTCCACTGTCATTTCTCTCTCTCTCTCTCTCTCTCTCTCTCTCTCACACACACACACACACACACACACACATGCACGCATGCATGTACACACACACACTCTCTCTCACACACACACACACAAACATACACATTGTCTAACGAATGTTGCTGTTGTTTTTCTTATGTATTATAATTGGAGCCTAGCTCTTAAAAATATTCAATACCCTTACTTTTCACAGTTTCCATTCAACCTGCTTCAGTTTGGTCTGTGCCCTAACCACCATTGGATAGTTGCTCACACTAGAACTTCTTCACCAGCTATAGACAATGGAATATGTCAGCAGAAGCAGCCTTAGTATCAGCATTTTCAGTGGTTCCATAAACAAGTTTTAGGAGATTTCCAACAAATTACAATGAAGAAAATGAAGAGTTTTAAGGGTTTGTGACCTCTTTCCCTGGATAGAGAAATACTATCATTTTAGCTGGTTTCTCAAAATAATCTTTGACTCAAATGGATTTAAGAGCTCCCGTTTGTATTGGATTCTAGTCTCCTGAAAGATGAGTGACAGTTACCTCAGCAAGTTATGTGAGTCCCTCACTTGGACAAACCCTACTTATGTCTGCAAATCCATCTTTCTAGTTATTCTTCTGAGGGTTTTATAATCTATAAACCCCAAACTCGTTTCACTTTTCTGTGAGCCCTCAGTCACTGTGTTGTTCTCTCTGGCAGCATCCCCCCACACCCGCCTTGCCATGTCACTTATTTCCTTTCGTTCCATTTCTCCCCTTTTCAAAGCCTTTCTTCTGGAAGTCTCAGCATCTGTGCGAACCCTTACCACAGCTCTACTTCATTGTGTCTCAGCTCTTTATTTATATGTCTGTGTTTGTTAGTTCTGGAAAATATTTTGTCCCTAAAACCTACCTTAACTAAGTTTGGTACATTAAAGGCTCTAAGGGGATTTCTAAGATATTTGTCAGTGATTATTTCTTTTTGGAAGTAAAGAAATATATAATTCCAGTGACAGATAAGAATTCTCTACAGACTACTTATTCATAATGATATGTCTTTGAGAAATCCTATCATCTTGCCTGTATCTTGGGTCAAGCAGTTCTTTGCCTGGCCCACCTAGATGCACAGATGAGACAGAGGCTACTGTGTAAGGGCTTATGTACTCCAGGAACCAGAA